CCATTCAGCTTTTATGCAGCCATAAGTTGGAAATCCTCCCGCGAATCTTATACGCGACCTCACTTGGCCCGGGAGTGTTCCGACAGCGCGGGGCGTGCCTACTGGAGCTGAAGAAACCTTACTCATGGTCGGAAGGAGTATCTCTCGAACTTCGCTAAGTTGCGATCAATGTATTTTTCGAGTATATGGACCAGAACTAGACTGCCTCACTCTCACGCACCGGACTAAGACGTCCATCCTAGTGAATATGTAGGCCAGAGAGTTCCCTTTGAAGAACGAACCCACGGCGATCACGATTACCACGCCTCATCGGTATCCTGACCGGCCGCGAGGTCGAACTGAGGGACATGCTGAGAGGTGTACAGTCTCGTTCGCTGCGGGTACTGGGGCGTGTCAGGCAGCCGGATTCAGCGCGGAGAAAGGGGAGAAAGGGCTTGCGCCGCGCCATACCCATCGTCCTGACACGCACCAGCGTTCGCAGCGGAGAAGGCCGTGACCAGCTTTATAACGGACATCAGTTCGAAGTCGTCAATGTAGCGTCACAGAAGCTTCTAATCTCTTTCAAGAGATCGCCGCTAAACGTCCGGGGGGGCCACCTGGGTTCTTGGAGTGCGATCGATAGACAGCCTGAAGATAATAATAATCGCTAGTGGCCGTTCCGCAGCCGACGCAAGGAGCAGGGACCTTGAAAAGCCGTCGTGAAAAAAGCGTGCCCAATAATAATTGAACAAGAACGCTAGCAGAAGGAAATAAGTTTTGAAGCACAATTTGACGGTAGGACGTCATCTATCGCGTTATCCGGCGTTAATGATGGTGCGTGACGCGTTTAGCGGGAAAATGATGGCAGGCACAGAGTTTTTCTGGCTATTAGAGATTCATGACCTCTTTTAAACTCGATAATTTGCGGACTCTGTCCTGCCATTGATCTTGTTAGCTAAGAAACATCGCATCTGGGGTAGTCACTCAACTGACCAAATTTAAGCAACGACTCATAGCTCAAGCAACTAACTCCGCTATTTTCTTGTTGCGTATCAGGCAGGATGACAACCTGACTATCGAGAGTGCTCCCCGCCTCCCATCGCCTCACGCTGCTCACGTACTTCTGACTATTGCTTCAACAAAGCTGAGTTCTTCAAAAACTTTTGCAGACGGGCCAACCGGCCAATCAACCAGCACAACCAATGAGTGGAGTCTCGAATTTTGTCAGCTGAAAGGAATGGATAAATACAATAAAGCCTTGTTCAAACTTATAAAGGGGTTGAATTATCAGTGTTGATTTCAAAACCACTGGAGAGCGCCACACACATGATACCAATTTATGCTCGTAGGTGCACCGAAATGCGTGTTTGACTTACTCGTCGGCGCAGAGGGAGGATATCTCTAGTGTTCAGTTTCGTCTGAAGGCGCGTGCGTAACGAAGGCCAAATTACCTCTTTCAGCCCATTACCTCAGAAAATTTGGCGCAGCTCGGCTCGGTGGGGGCATTATAGCGTCAACCGGCGATCCTGTTTCTGTTCTGGAAGGATGCTTTTCTACATAATAAGATTGCGCAGAAATTCAACTTCTACGACTGTGCTCTGTCAGCAGTGGGGTCTATGACCCGCATTCTGCGTAAAAACCAATAATTTTAATCACTATCGGTGAATATGATACGATTTCATGACGTTCGAACTTTTTCAACTCCAGCCACTCCATCCAATTGACTCACTATCTGATGAGGGCCTTCGACGCAAAAGCCGATAGTGCGGATTATCGCTGATCGTTATGTGCGGCCATAAAAATCGAACTTCAGGTTGCTTTTCTTTGCCTCGCTCAATATGGAACCAATGCACGAGTTTTCAACCTAGCCCCGCCCACATCGTCGCATGCTCCGCCCACTGTAGAAGCGCCTCTTCTACCTCATTCGCCAATCCCCTGCACATCTTTGCTCATTTTCGCACGTCTCTGGAATGCGAATTTTCAGCTTTGGCCTCGCCCACACCCAGGCATGCTCCACCCACTATGGGTGTGTCCCTCATTCCAATAGTCGAACCCTCGCTGACTTATATTTTCTTTCACCCTTATCCTGGGCTGCTTTGCTACCTAATTACAATTTTTCAGAACAAGAAGTTCCCGTTGGGGCTCTCACGGCTCATTATGGGCTGGTCTCAGCACACTGTGCGCTTACTTCTCTTTGGAGGTTCCTCTTCTCCACCTATTTTTCTCCGATATTCAAGCTGTCTCAGTAGTCAACTGTGAATTTTTGGCAAGCACCGTCCACTTGCCGTACGGTCCAACAACTGCAGCTGTGTCTCCCTCATTTCATGAGCCTGATCTGAACATGATACGCTTTCTCAGTTTCTGAACATTCCTGCAACCGAATCATGATTTTTGGCCTGCGGCACCACTGACTTTCGACACATGCCCCGCCCCTAGTGGGAGGGGCTTAGCCTCATTCACATGTGCTCCGTCCATCTTGTCCCATGACCTCTCCACTGGAACTCTATTCCGACCTCTTTAGTTCTGGAACTATTTTATTAGCAACAGTTAACTAATTTGAACCGCACACTTTGGTCACAGTTTCTGAACAAAACATGACATTAGGTAAAATTCACAAAACAACTGCGAGAATTCTGAAAAAAATGGTAAAAGTGCATCTATTTCAAATCGCTTCCATCGTCTTCGGCGAGGAACTTCTCCTGTAAAAAAATGCTGGAAATTGCTCAAGAAACTCTTCCTCAAATGTGGCGTTCAACACTGCTGAGTTTTTGGGATCGCTTCAGGCCGCAGGTGGAGTTTTTTGTTAGGGAACCTTCCCCGGAGAGTCTCACATTTCTGAGACAACCAGTGGATTATGGCCGAATACCACTACAAATAAGGCCCCTATGAAATTACAGGTGACCTCAAGGGAACCTGCAAATTCCGGAGGTGAGCTACAGGTGATCTCCTAACGTGGAAATCCCGGGATTGTGGTAGAGTTGATGCCTGGTTTCGTTCGAGGTTGTTTCAGTGATGGGATTTCTCCTCATTGGAGAGTTTTGTTGGAGCAGGCAAGAATCATCCCTGTTCCCTAGTACATATCCCTTCTGGAAACTCAGAGTGAGGAGCTTTTTCTGCTTCATATCCTTGAAATAGCCACAAATCAAAGGAAGGCGAACCATTTGATCGAGTTCTTCGACGTGATGCCCCTTCGGAGCTCTGGGTAGACGAATCGACATTCGAGCTGATTTCAGTGTCTTCTCCTTGGAAGGCCTGGTAATGTGCTCGAGTTACTCCTTGTCCGAGCTACTCCTAATCACTAGGTCAAATATGTAGAAACTCACCTCTTTTCTTGTTTCTCCTTCTCTTTCTCCTTCTCCTTCTCTTTTTCTTCTTTCTCTTTTTCTTCTTTCTCTTTTTCTTCCTTCGCTTTCTCTTCCTCCTCCTCCTGAAACAAGCGATACACCTAAAAGTTCTTGATTTTTTCTGGGTGGGCTGAAAAGGCGGAGTAACTAATAATGAAGCTCTTCTTAAAGATTGAGGACCTTGTTGCGATCTCGAGAGATGTTAAAGTAGACTCTGCAATTGAGCGGCGCTGTGGCAGGGATATACTTATCTCGAATGCTGTTGGGGCTCAATGGTACCTAATTCGTTAATGGTGAGAGCAATCTGGCAACACAGTTGATATTGTCGCAGTCAGACGGGACGGTTCGAAAGGCATGGAGCCTCGCGCCTGGCATTCTCTTCTACTGCGCGTTGTCTTAATTTAAATCGAATCGATAGTCTCACTAATGATGGGAAATTGCAACAAGGGGGGGGGGCTCCGCTGTACTCTCCCTGTTGCAATCCTACTTCTAACACGCTTCCACTGATTGCATGACTCCCTCCTATTCGGGATGTGCGCTATGGTGGGTTTCTACTTTCTCATTGGGGGGAACATTTAGTTGCATTATCCTACTGACTCATAGGACGTGAAACCCAGCTGCGCTCCTCAGATTGATCCACCTGTGAGCGAATGTTGTTTTCGGAATTTTTATACTTTGTGCCCGTAAACCCCGCATTGCCCGCAGCCTGAAAGGCTATACGGGTGCCCACCGATAAATCCATCGTTGCCGTTATGTCTAGCTGATTGATGCTGCCTAGCACGTTGACTTGTTTTTGCACTTCGGCAGTTAGGATCTGGTGCGAACGTCGCGCGCGTGACGTCGTTTGCAACGCCACGTCGCGGCGACCTGAAGTTAATCTACTCGACACTTTAAGCATAACCTAACTGATTCGTGAAAGTGTCGAAACATGTGGGTCCACGCCTTCGGGAGCCATGTCGGCAGGCAACGTGCGAGGAGGTCTCGAGGGGGCTGGACGCACGTTCATAACTTCGCGATTGGGCGCTACCCAGTTCAGACGTACTATTGAGAAACAGGCGAGCATCATTGATCACTCTTCACCGCTCACATCGATGGACCACTGCAGCTCTCATTCGGATCACACTTAGGCTAAAACTCTCTTCTATCGTTGCAGCTGCCCAACTATAGCAGCAGAGAAGTCTAGTCGCTCTTAAGGCCAAGGGCGATTGCGAGCGGCTCTTTGCTTGAGGTTGCGAGCGCGTCCAAGCTCTTTCGGGACCGTTTACCGAGTGTATATCCTAGCAAAAACCTAGTCGTGTACGGAACTGGGGGTCTATTGTAGTAGCTGTTGTGCGCAGTTCTCCTCGGCGGAGGGGGGAGGCGAACACTGAGTGGTACATTCCACGCTGTGAACACCTGTAAATACCTGTAACCAAAGCGGCTCACTGGAACAATTCCGCAACTTTCTTGCGTCTGTCCAAAGTAGAGCCAGTTAAGTAACATGAAAAGGAGTTAGTGATAGCCCAAAATGCCCCCTCTAAGCCGAGCAGCGCGCTGCTTGTATAAAACTATGTGGATCCGTTTGGCAATTCGTAAAGAAAAGCCAGCAACAGAAATCGCTTGATTCCCCTGAGCTTATGGTGGGTTACATTGGCGCACCTGCTCTTGTGTTTGCGTTTTCGCCTCTTCGTACTTTATGAAGGCTCTCATCCGTTTGTCAGACTTCTTTTCTTCGACTTTCTGCTGCAAAAGTAATTCTGCTACGGAAATCTACTAGATGTGGTAAATTTCGATGACCTACCGGCTCTGCTGGTGCCGTTGGCGCGCCGTATGCTGTTGCTACTGTAGTAGCTGCACGGCGCCGAATTTGTAAAGCTTTGTAGTGAAGTGCCACGAACTGAAGTCATTCCGCCATTTTCAAAAGAAATCTGCTTTTTTAAAGATAAACTTGATGTATTTAACTCACAAGAAGTGTATTCAGATACATCGCCAACACAATCATATACGTACAAGCTCCAGCCCGCAGCGTCAACGCGGCATCGATGAAGGGCGTGGCGGTTTTCTGTATGGATCAGTCTACACTATCTAGATGTCCAGAACTGGTTGAGAAGGAGAAGAAGAGGAAGCAAAAAGAGGTAGAAACGATCAGAATTTTTTTCAAGAGCTACCTCCTCCTCCTCCCTGGTCTTCTCCTTGTGATTCCAGGCCAAATCGCGGCGGTTTGTAACAAGACAACCGCAATATACCGCACGGGTGAGCGCAACGTCGCTCCCGACGAACGAGTTGTGCTGCCTCACCGTTAAAAGTTGGGTATCATAGGGGAAGTTTTATGTAGCCCGGCAGGGAGTCCTGTCTCCGCCGAAATCCATTAGACTTTCACTGCTGCGATCGACAAACCAATGCACACCGAGAGTTTGTTGCCCATCTTCGCACCACACATCACGCGACGACGCGACAAATCACGATTGTCCTCTCCGTCTCCCGCATCGCGAAAAAGGGGGAGGTGTTCATGCCCCTGATGTGAGTGTAGTGGCGCCTGGACAGCTGCCTGCTCAATCAAAGACGCATTCAGCGCGCACAAGTGTGTGCATGAGGCTGCGTTCATACTTTGCGGCAGCGTCCACCAGCGGTCATCAACGTTCCGAGCGTCCGTCAGCGTCAGCGATAAGAAAAGTATAGATTTCGATTCAGCGAGTGGCAGCGTCCGGCGAGGGCCACCAGCGAGCACAAAGCGTCTCGAGAGAATAGAAAATAACTATCGATCTAGCGTCTACCAGCGTCCACCAGCTTCGCCAGCGACCAGGAGTACGGTATTGTGTAGAAGTACGTGCACTCGCAGACGCCGCAATTTCACGACGCCTAGTCCAGCCATCTCCTCCCTCCTACTCCCCATACTCTACCAGCACTCTGCTGTCCTCCTACTTCCCCATATTTTCTACTCCTGGTGGTGGATTCTGGTGGACGGTGATATACGCTAGATGGATATCCACACTTCTCCCAGTTTCT